CAGCTGTTGGGCGATTATTTGGATTGACTTGTAGGCATTGCAGGATAAAATCTCGTGCATCTTTTGACAAAGAGTCAGGAACAGTTGGTGGTTCACCCTTCCCAATTCTATACAAGGCCTGCATCTGTTTGAGTTACAAAAGAAAAAATCTGTTACCAAACAGGGAATGGTACTGCAAAGTTGTAGTTGCAAACTTGCAACAGTGGGAAGAATAAAATACCATTTTCAGGTTATGGAGGGGGCTGGCAATCTACACTCGACACACTAGCAAATAGGTGTTTAATTGAACCAATACAAGTCAATACAATGCCGAGCTCAGTCTTGACTCTGTTAACCTTATACAAGCTAGACCTTGAGCATGCTTCTTATGTCTAAGCTTGAGCTTGGCTTGATTAACTTTACATAGACTAAAGGTTAACTAATAAATATTAATTACATAAAATTAATTACTAAAGGTTAACTAATAAACATTAATTACTTATAATTAATTATTTTTTCAGGCAATCTCTCTTCTAGATTTATATTTCTTTTTCTCTTCGTCTTTTCCTGGTTTTTTTATTTTACAATTTTACTTATGAATAAAAAGTCCTTATTTTTCGAGAAAAGAATAATGGCTGAAAAAGGAAGTGTTTACCCATTCCAGAGGTGAGTACGGAACCTTACGGGTTAACATCTCCAACACAGTGCAACCAAGGCTCCATATATCAGCAGGAGGACCATAGCCTTGGTTCTTCAGATTTACAACCTATGATTGCACAACTGATAGTCAGAAAGACTATATATTTTTTTGAGCACAACTTCAATCATAAGTCAATATTGATCCATACATACAAATGTTTAAGCCATTTTCTTCAAAGTTTGCAGCTATTTAAATTAACTTGTGTGGAAAACATAATTTATTGATTCTAAGAGGAAATGTATAGACAAACCTCAGGGGCCATCCAAAATGCAGTGCCTTTGCAAGATTTGACATCATTGAATTTAGTGACCTGAAAATCAACAAATCAGAAAATTTGTCAGAAAAATCACAATAATTCAAAAGCTACCATGGGGAAGAACATAGTTTTAGAATGGAACAAAACCTTTGCCAATCCAAAATCTGCAAGTTTCACAGATCCACTTGCATCCACCAATATATTTGCACATTTAATATCCCTTTTGATACAAGAAAAGAACAAAATTGAGCTTAGACAAACTCACGTACTAGTATAGTGCCCATTAATCCACTAAAGGAAACAAATGCCAGTTGAATACAAAATTGAACAAATGTTAGTAGTATAGAGACTATGTCCAACCTTATTGCATAAACATAATTAAAAAAATGGAGAAAAGATTTGAAAAAATATAAATGTATTTTCCTGCCACACTAAAACGAGCAACGCATATCGTTCCTCCTTTAAATCACCAAAAGAGAAAAAGAAACCAAAACGTTTTGTCAGGCAATTAAAGCTTCATACATTTCTGAAATATTTGCTTTTAGCATACTAAGCAATTGATATTCAACTATAGGAAAGTAATATGAATTTCATATTTAATACACAGACATTTTACCTGTGAACCACATCTTTGTCATGAAGATACTTCAGTCCATGTAGAATCTGTCTTGTATAGGAAGAGACTTGAGAATCTTTGAGATTATACCTCTGATAAAGACTTAATAGGGAGCCTTTTGTCACTAGCTCAAGGAAGATATATAAATTTGATTCATCCTAGAAAGACCGTAAAATGAAGAACAAAAGAGTTAGCATATAGATTCATAAAACTGAATTGAAGTTAGCAAGGTATTGGCAGTCTAATTTTTATGATCTTGTATCCTATGAGAAATTCTATTAAGTTTGGGATAAAAAGTTCCAACATAAACATAAATGACTTGGTAACACATGCACCATCAATAGAGCAGAAGGCCTTATGTACTAGGCACCTTGTTGACAATTCTTTACAGCTCATTTCACAGAAGTTTCAAATGGAATAAACAGCATTAACCTTTCCCACATTAATATTAACACTAATAATTTAATAAATAATAACTATTTTATAGTATTTAATTTATCTTATATTTAAAACTTAAAATTAGAAGTATAATTAATCA